TTGAATGCATTCACTTACTGGATCATTAGACTGAAAACTTTCCCGGAGTTTAGCGGCTTAAAATTATCTAATCGCAAGCAGAGAAGCAAAATTGGGTTAAAGGGTTAGAATAGAAATTGTGCTTCAGTAATTTTGCGTTAATTGCATTAAATTATTTTAACGCGTTAAGGATTGTAAAATTAATTGCATGCGTTAACGCGTTAATGATGACAGCCCTAATATAATCACTATACAATTAAAGTATCCCTCTGTATCACACTAACTTGACTAAAAGGCATTTACTGGTCAGGTTGGTGTTGGACATTCTAGGTTGTGTATTGCAAAATGTATGCTTGCTTCAAAACAACTTCACACATGTTCTGCAACTCTCCAGTTGTTCACAAAGATATGACTGAAATCTATATTTAAAGACCTTCCATAAGAAAAAGCATTGACACCTTGACGCATTGAACCACCTAAAAAAAATTACCTCAAAAAGTAAATGCACATGAATCTGAGATAACATGGCCTAGCTAATAAAAAAAAAGGACAGCAGAAAATTGCTGCGACCACAAACAAAACTACCCCACCACCACATCATCATCTGACAAATAAGCATGAGGACATTTATCACATCTTTAACGGGATGTATGGCCTGGTTTTGACATGCCGTATAACAGCTGACCAGCAAAGATAAAAGCCACTCTTTGCACTCCTGATCTGCAATTACCAAAACTGTAGAGCTTCAAAATGCTCATTCCTCCTCCCCCATTATGGAAAAACACGGCTTGCAGATAAGCCCACTGTTGGTAACAACTGACCTGTTAAAAACAAGTCAGGCTTCAGATCAAAATTTGGCTGCAAGCTTGACTTCAGGAAGGCAAACTTGCACACACCACAAAAAGAAAAAGAAAAAAAAAGATTAGAGATCATTTTTGTATGACTGATTTTGGTAAATATCATGCTTCTAAAGTGTCTGATAATCAATATGCAAAACAGATTTTTCTGTAATGACAACGAATGCCAATAGCTTAAAAAATATTTGTAAGTAACTTTTATTTTTGTACAAACAATGCAATTAATAAGCAAATGAATTAACCTAATCTATAGGTCAAAATCGGTTACATTTTTTCTGCATCCATTGAGACTGATGTGCTGGTGTCAACACCTTGCGCAGGGACAAAGTTCAGAAGTCTAATCAAGTAGTTAAACATTATATGTTCTTTGCTACTTTAGTGTCTCGCTCACCTCCAACAACTTGCCATGTTTTCTCGGGTCAGCTAATGCACATGGACACCATGATGTGTCAGTGTTTGGGTTTAATGACAGCAATTTGATGAGGTAGAAAGATCTCTATAAAAATCATATCCTCATAATCAGCATGTATTTGTGGTCATATCTTCTTAACAGGACTTAGGATGGGTTTAATTCAGCATGTTTGCCCAATGAAAAAAAAAACAATTTACCAAGAACCATAATAACTCTGTACATCTGAACTAGCTTAAAACTCTCTAAAATGTAAGATACACTTTATTAAATTAATACATACAGACCTGAAACTTAAATGAAAATAAATAACAGAGAAAACAGGAACAGGCCATTGCACCAAAAAAGTAGACAAGTCATTAATTAGGGACCACAAGTTAAACACAAGTAATTTCCACTTACTTGTACCCTTTAAAAAGACGTCACTGAAAATAAAAAAAATATATACATCGATAAAAAAATAGAAAAAAATAACTCAAAATAATAAATGTAATATTGAGGCGTCTATCCTCATTAGCACTCAAGCTAACTGACAGAAACGCCATCACATACATCTGCTCTTTAAAGGAGAGAGAGAGAGAGAGAGAGAGAAAAAAAAGTACTTAAACGATTATATGCGCTTACATACACATGCATAATAAACAACTCATCAAAAATAAGTCACTTAAAGTATATAAAAGGGTGTATGTCCTGTTTTGGGGGTGTTTAAATGCTAGTTCCGCTCAGCATATGCCAAAACCGAGTCAACAGGAAAAACACAGAATAAATGCTACATTTGCATCACTTTAGATGCAAGTTAAAGCCATTAAAACTCAGTTAAAGCTACATATAAAGGTACTTATGACTGACACGTAGGAGCAATACGCCAAACGTGAGGAAATTGAAGATTTAAAAACTGACCTGAGCAAAAATAGAATAAAAGTCGAAATGGAGAAGTGAATTCTCTGCTGAAGGGAGAAACTCTTCGTCGCCTTGTTCCTCTGTCTTTACTGGGGTGACTTCATCTCATCTTGTCATCATTTTTAAGTCGTGTGTCCTTCAGGTCTCAATGCTTCACGTCTGCGTGTATATGTGTGTGTGTGTGTGTGTGATCAGATCAGGTGAGCGCGCAGCGGGCACTGCCTCATATATTGCGTGCACGCGCATAGAGACACGCGAGCGAGCCTGCACGAATCTTTTTTGCTGAGATTTGATGCAGTGGCACAATTTTGCAAAATGACATCGCGTCATTTAGCAACTTTTAGCAACAAATCAACCTTCCTTTAGCAACTTCCCCTGGCAACACTGAATCCACCCAGTACAGAAATATAGAGCACTGCTTGAGATGGGCAAGATGTGGGTTTTTAAATTGCATACATTTTTGGAAGCCATTGCGGGAACAGTTTTCTTATTAGCAGTAATAAACCATTAAAATATACATTCTTTCAGAAAATATATGAGTGGTTGGTACCTTTTCTGTCCAATAGGATGATTTGATGAATTTAATGATTTTTATATATAGAAATAGAAACCCAAAATTGTGAAATAAAAAAAGTTTATATACTTTGTTTTCTTTTCTTTTTGTTATTATTATAATTGCACTGATTTGGGCTTCTGTTTCTGTTACATAAGTAATTAAACACAAACACTTGAACTACATTTAAAATCACCCTATTTGACAGATAAGTTAGCATATTTGAGGAATCTCACATTTTCTGATAGAAAATACAAGAAAATACACTAAATATAATTAACACGAGGCATTCTAATATAATATAACATAATATGAGTGGGTTAAAATAGCTTTTGTGATCTAAAATACACAGAAACACAATCACGACACAAAGGAACATTCTTGAAATTTGTGCACATTAGTTATACAATGCTGGAGGTTTCATCTGTGGGCTGCAACAGGGTTCAACTCTTTGAAGAGTCATCAGGTGCTTGAGGCACTATATAAATAGACCTCTGCATAATTGAGGTCAGGTCTATTAGATTTCTCTCAGGGCGTCTCCGACAGACTGTTTCCATGATTAAAAATGTAACACTGCCTTGACTTCAGTTTACGCTGCTGTTATTTTATTTATATTAGGAGCTGGCAGTAAAAGTGCAATACACAGATCTCACAGAGGAATGTAATTACATGCACACAACTCAGTGTTTACATCTGTTGTTGTTTCTTTAATCATGGGATCGTTAAACCAAGAAGAACCTTCTATGGCACTGATTACAGTTGAAGGTGATCCTATTTTAATCCAGTTCTAATTTCTCATTAATTACGCACTATTCTTGACTGGCCAGTATCACATTCCCCACTATGATCACCACCATTATTCTCAGCAGCATCATAAATGTAGCAGATTTTGCAAGTGTATAAACAATGGTACTTCAATATCATATATCTCATGTATCAATATAAATCTAATTTAGCTAATTTTCTGTAAAATATTTCTTTCCTTTAACCCCATGATTGAACCTTATGACAAACCAACCCTTCTCGGATAGTAACAGGCCCACCTAGAGGTGGCAAAGCTAACTACAGCATTGAGGAAAAACAGGATTTGCTTGCAAATTGATATCACTCTAGCATTTGTAGGAAATATAAACTCTTATTGACACACGTAGTGTTTAAAAATGATGATTATTGGAGGTGAAGTAATTTGCACATGTGGTTGAATAGATCATCGCACATTTCATTGTTAAAAGACTTGACAATGCCAGAATCTGTAGTATGATTTCACTGCAGTGTCTCCACATTTACAGAGCTGAGGGTGACATCACTGAAGATACTAAGAGCTCTGATCTGGTTGAGCTCACGGATCCGATGTTTGTATTCCAGAAGGTGCGATTTGTTCACAGCCACTTTGAATTCAGTGTCAGTGCATAAGATCTTCATCTGAAATTAAAAGCAAATGTAATCAGTTGCAATTGAACAAGCATGCAACAGAGCATGTAGTTTTGACCGAACATGGCAGGACAAAACAAAACAAAACAATTTTTTCTTTTTTGTTGCAGTATTTTTAGTGATGCTATTTCAGGGCCCCTTTTTCTGCTTTTCCACACTGACATCCAGCTATCTGATATATCTATATGAGCTATCTAATGTCTTTAAACACAATGAGGGCCCGACAGTAAATATTTAAGACATTTGTCCAAAATGGCCTCTTGGGCAGCGAGCCGACATACAGCGCCATTCGGCCATTGCGCTTCGGGCATCACGAGTTCGAGTCCCGGCTCGTGGACCTTTCCCGATCCCATCCCCCTTTCTCTCACCCACTTCACTTCCTGTCGACCTATACTGTCCTATCTAAATAAAGGCATAAAACGCCATAAATAAATCTTTAAAAAAAAAAAACACTGAGATGAAAAAGAAACAAATTTGTTTGATGCCATGCTCACCTCAAAAGGCTTTCCTGGGACAAATGGGAAGGAGGGGAGCTCGCGCTCTTCTCTGCCCCACTGGTTACCAATCATGCTGTTTCGCACAATCGCTCGCTTTCCGCCTTCATTGAATCGGGGGTTTAGATGAAACGCAATGTCGCTGCCTCTCTTTAAATTAACTGTGAAACTAATTGGGGGAGAAAACATAAGAATACACACATGGAATACACAGGAATGTTACAAATAAGGTGATTGTCACAATTTTTAGACAATGATGATGAAACCAAAACTGGGTGTGTTTAATTTCTTAATTTAACTTAATTTAATATATGTTCCTGGTCTTATTGTGCACAATTCATCAGTGCACATGATTTACAAGCAAAATGTTTGTCTTTGTAATCTTTTACCAAGATATATCAATACAACACAATTCATTATGTACTTTATCATGTATATTAAACTTAAAAAAATTATTTAGGCCTAAATTTAAGATATATGTATTTGAACCGCATGTAACATTTCCATCCATGTGGATTACGCAGTTTTAACATAAATTAATCAACTTAATGTGATGCATATTTGTCAGTCATACATAAGTATGATTTCTGTAATAGTACTAATAATAATTTTTAGTTGTATTACTACTAATATTACTAATAATACTAATTATTATCAGTACTGATGATAATTATTAGTCGTATTAGTACAGTAGTATTAGTACTAATAATAGTACTAATGTGTTTTAAAAACACAATAACCAGGTTAATATATTTATCCTCATCAAACTCAATTTGTTTCAATCTCATAATTGAATATTGCTTGTTCCACAGCTAGCCATATTTTAACGGTATTCATACTTTCTAACTCAATGAGTGTAATTGCTTTTACAGTAAAAGATTTATGCTGATTCTAAGCCATTTGAATAAATGCATTTTGAAAAACTATTTAAATAAAATTAAATAGATGCAAATAGTTAATAATGAACCAGTGCGTGTTTCATTTATGTATGACTGACATATATGCTTCACATTAAGCTTATTATTTTATGTTAAAGCTGTGTAATGGATGGAAATTCTATATGGAATTCAACATATAAATCTTAAATTTAGGCTTAAATATGAAATAGTTTATGTACTGTATCATCAATGACAGATCATTGCTAAACTGTTGTATATATGTATGTGTTGTTGTTCTTACTTATTAGCATTGGGTTTGACCTCTCCAACGATGGTGATGAGCATCTTGTTATAGGCTCCACTTTGCAGTGGGAGGTCAAATGGCACAGTCTTGCAAAAAAATGTAAATACTTAGTAAAAGAGCAGAAACCAAGAATCACTGTATTGTGTTTAATATAACATTCACTTTAACAAGATCCAAAATGCAGACTACAGAACAAACTCTATGATGGTTGTACAAATCCAAGGAGAGTGAAAACATCTCACTAGTGCTCTTGGAGCTTGGCCAGGAGCACCATAAGGGCCGGTTTGTGGTGCAGGTCCAGGCCACCCAGGAGCTGTAGGCTGCCCAGGCTGCCCAGGCTGTCCAGGCCATGCTGGTTGGTATGGTTGCCCTGGCCAGGCCGGTTGGTTTGGCTGTGCAGGCCAGGTGGGGTTAGCGGGCTGACCAGGCCAGGTGGGGTTGGCTGGTTGGCCGGGCCATACTGGGCCTCCTGCCTGCTGATTATTTTGTTGTGGGAAGTCAAGGGCATCTGAAAGCTAAAACGGAACATAATAGAAATTATAACATGGAATTTGTTGTGTTAAATTAGATAAATAGAATTATTGAAGTGATAAAATGTACTTACATCCATGATATCTGAAATTCAAACAGAGAGAAGACATTATTAATTGAACAAAAACAAATCATTATGCACTGGCCTTGCTATACTGTTAGAAGATCTTTTTTTTTTTAAATTAAAATTATCTGATGTCTAATGATAACAATTATTTATCATTTAATTATTTTATTAAACGAAATTGAAAATGTACTAACCCTCAGGCTATCCAAGATGTAGATGAGTTTGTTTCTTCATCAGAACAGATTTGGAGAAATGTAGCATTATATCAGTTGCTCACCAATGGATCCTCTGCAGTGAATGGGTGCCGTCAGAATGAGAGTCCAAACAGTTGATAAAAGCATCACAATAATCCACAAGTAATCCAGACGACTCCAGTCCATCTATTAACATCTTGTAACGACTCGTATTTTGACCAGAAATTACAGTTTGAATTTAAAAACATCCTAATGAAAAATTTATTACAAACATGCAGCTTTTCACTTCAATAGATGTTAACTTATGTATTGGAGTCGTGTGAATTATTGTGATGTTTTTATCAGCTGTTTGGACTCTCATTCTGACGGCATACATTCACTGCAGAGGATCCATTGGTGAGCAAGTGATATAATGCTACATTTCTCCAAATCTGTTCTGATGAAGAAACAAACTCATCTACATCTTGGATGGCCTGAGGGTAAGAACATTTTCAACAAATTTTCATTTTTGGGTGAACTATTTCTTTAAGTAGATTCACAATCCTGAATGCACAAGGGCAATCTTTCCACTAAAACATAGTCTCTAACATATAAACTAAGGTTAATACGGGTGCATTTAAGTGATAAAAGTAAAGCAGTTTTTGAAAACACCAATAAATTTAGTCAATGTTTGTTTTAAATATGATATACATTTTATTACTGGTTCCCTGGAGTACATTACATGCTTCAATGACTCACTCGTCCATGAAACCACCCACCACACCCATTGCACTGTATGAATGGTGAGCCAGAGGGGATGCATGATGATTACAATAGCAGATAATGCAGTATTATTAACAAACCCTGTGTGAATCGTAATAAATGCACGCTCTTAACAGAGATGCATGTTAAATGAAATAAAGTTCCCTTGAAATGGCTTTGGGTGCATTATAACTTACATGACTAACATGTTTTGGCTTTTAAAGTAAGAATGTGGAATATTTGTACAAATATTCACACTGAAAAGTTGCACATAAGCATACATCTCTACAACCTCAGATCAATCTAAACTATTCCCCTGTAGCAAGAGTTTATTATTGTGCAATCTGCATTCAATTGCCACTTGAACACAGCAAGTTTAGACTCGTCAGTAGTTTTACTGGGCCTGTGAATCACATGAAGACGTGTTTAAAACTAGCAAAAGTACAATCTTTCTTTCAAAAGTGAATATGAAGATTGATTTGAATCCTTCAGTCAAGTGTATCCAGATGTTTGACTGATAATGTAAGAAGAACGTATATCACGGATTCATTTTAGCATGGTAATGTTTATGTAATACTGATTCACAATTTACTGAAAGTTAAATAGATGAGATATCTTCAGTTATTCGGAAATCTAAATCAATCCAACTCAGTTAGTTAAAGTCTGTCTGTCGGTTCTTTTGCCTTTTAGCACTGATATTATTCACTCTTCTCTTATTTCTGGCACTGTTCCTTATTCATTTAAAACTGCATTAATAACTCTTGTACTCAAGAAGCCAGGTGCAGATCCAAATAACTTTGATAATTTCCGTCCAATTTCGAAATTTTACATTTTTATCTAAAATCCTGGAAAAGGTTGTTGCGGCTCAGGTACACGATCATCTTTCAGTGAACAATCTATATGAACAATTTAAATCAGGTTTTCTTTATTATCATTGTACTCAGACTGCCCTTATCAAAATTTCTAAAAAAAATGTAAATACTTAGTAAAAGAGCAGAAACCAAGAATCACTGTATTGTGTTTAATATAACATTCACTTTAACAAGATCCAAAATGCAGACTACAGAACAAACTCTATGATGGTTGTACAAATCCAAGGAGAGTGAAAACATCTCACTAGTGCTCTTGGAGCTTGGCCAGGAGCACCATAAGGGCCGGTTTGTGGTGCAGGTCCAGGCCACCCAGGAGCTGTAGGCTGCCCAGGCTGCCCAGGCTGTCCAGGCCATGCTGGTTGGTATGGTTGCCCTGGCCAGGCCGGTTGGTTTGGCTGTGCAGGCCAGGTGGGGTTAGCGGGCTGACCAGGCCAGGTGGGGTTGGCTGGTTGGCCGGGCCATACTGGGCCTCCTGCCTGCTGATTATTTTGTTGTGGGAAGTCAAGGGCATCTGAAAGCTAAAACGGAACATAATAGAAATTATAACATGGAATTTGTTGTGTTAAATTAGATAAATAGAATTATTGAAGTGATAAAATGTACTTACATCCATGATATCTGAAATTCAAACAGAGAGAAGACATTATTAATTGAACAAAAACAAATCATTATGCACTGGCCTTGCTATACTGTTAGAAGATCTTTTTTTTTTTAAATTAAAATTATCTGATGTCTAATGATAACAATTATTTATCATTTAATTATTTTATTAAACGAAATTGAAAATGTACTAACCCTCAGGCTATCCAAGATGTAGATGAGTTTGTTTCTTCATCAGAACAGATTTGGAGAAATGTAGCATTAGATCAGTTGCTCTCCAATGGATCCTCTGCAGTGAATGGGTGCCGTCAGAATGAGAGTCCAAACAGTTGATAAAAGCATCACAATAATCCACAAGTAATCCAGACGACTCCAGTCCATCTATTAACATCTTGTAACGACTCGTATTTTGACCAGAAATTACAGTTTGAATTTAAAAACATCCTAATGAAAAATTTATTACAAACATGCAGCTTTTCACTTCAATAGATGTTAACTTATGTATTGGAGTCGTGTGAATTATTGTGATGTTTTTATCAGCTGTTTGGACTCTCATTCTGACGGCATACATTCACTGCAGAGGATCCATTGGTGAGCAAGTGATATAATGCTACATTTCTCCAAATCTGTTCTGATGAAGAAACAAACTCATCTACATCTTGGATGGCCTGAGGGTAAGAACATTTTCAACAAATTTTCATTTTTGGGTGAACTATTTCTTTAAGTAGATTCACAATCCTGAATGCACAAGGGCAATCTTTCCACTAAAACATAGTCTCTAACATATAAACTAAGGTTAATACGGGTGCATTTAAGTGATAAAAGTAAAGCAGTTTTTGAAAACACCAATAAATTTAGTCAATGTTTGTTTTAAATATGATATACATTTTATTACTGGTTCCCTGGAGTACATTACATGCTTCAATGACTCACTCGTCCATGAAACCACCCACCACACCCATTGCACTGTATGAATGGTGAGCCAGAGGGGATGCATGATGATTACAATAGCAGATAATGCAGTATTATTAACAAACCCTGTGTGAATCGTAATAAATGCACGCTCTTAACAGAGATGCATGTTAAATGAAATAAAGTTCCCTTGAAATGGCTTTGGGTGCATTATAACTTACATGACTAACATGTTTTGGCTTTTAAAGTAAGAATGTGGAATATTTGTACAAATATTCACACTGAAAAGTTGCACATAAGCATACATCTCTACAACCTCAGATCAATCTAAACTATTCCCCTGTAGCAAGAGTTTATTATTGTGCAATCTGCATTCAATTGCCACTTGAACACAGCAAGTTTAGACTCGTCAGTAGTTTTACTGGGCCTGTGAATCACATGAAGACGTGTTTAAAACTAGCAAAAGTACAATCTTTCTTTCAAAAGTGAATATGAAGATTGATTTGAATCCTTCAGTCAAGTGTATCCAGATGTTTGACTGATAATGTAAGAAGAACGTATATCACGGATTCATTTTAGCATGGTAATGTTTATGTAATACTGATTCACAATTTACTGAAAGTTAAATAGATGAGATATCTTCAGTTATTCGGAAATCTAAATCAATCCAACTCAGTTAGTTAAAGTCTGTCTGTCGGTTCTTTTGCCTTTTAGCACTGATATTATTCACTCTTCTCTTATTTCTGGCACTGTTCCTTATTCATTTAAAACTGCATTAATAACTCTTGTACTCAAGAAGCCAGGTGCAGATCCAAATAACTTTGATAATTTCCGTCCAATTTCGAAATTTTACATTTTTATCTAAAATCCTGGAAAAGGTTGTTGCGGCTCAGGTACACGATCATCTTTCAGTGAACAATCTATATGAACAATTTAAATCAGGTTTTCTTTATTATCATTGTACTCAGACTGCCCTTATCAAAATTTCTACTGATTTATTGGTAGAGGCTGACTCAGGACTACTATCTATATTAATTCTTCTTGATTTAACTGGCGTTTGACACTGTTTCCCACAAAATCTTATTAAACTGCGGCCAGTTGGAATTGTAGGTACTTCTCTGGCTTGGTTCACACAAGTCATCACATAGTACTACAGGTGTCCCACAGGGCTTAGTTGTGGGCCCTTTATTATTTATCATTTATTTACTGCCACTTGGAAACATTTTCAGGGAATATGGTATCCATTTTCACTGTTACGCAGATGACACCCAGCTCTACCTGTCTTCAAAACTAACTTCTAAACTTCCTCCATCCTCTCTTTCTAACTGTTTGTCTGAAAGCTTGGTTTTCAAGCAATTTTCTTAAACTTGACAATAGCAAAACAGAAATGCTTCTTGTAGGTACTAAAAATAATTTGTCAAAGACCAGTGGTTTCTCTATATGTATCGATGGTTCTACAATTGATCCTTCAATGCAGGTTAAGAGCTTGGGTGTTATCCTTGACAATACTCTATCTTTTGAAGCACATATTAAAGGTCACATATTTTACACCTTTCTGGAGTTTTATTTTAAGTCTTGATGTCCTTAAGAATATATATTTGCGGTATAAGTACCAAAAACCATCTCAATACATTTTTACAGCTCCTCTCTCAGGAGCTCTGCTGAGAACAGGTCGATTTTGGCCTGTCTAATTAATATTCATGAGCCTCTCTTCTGATTGGCCTGTTGTTTTCTGAGTGACGCACGGCCAGGCCAACCACAGGTAACTAGGGTCAGCGACGTCACAGCGCTAGCAGGAGGCAGCAAAACAAAGATGAAACTGGAGGCGGCCCATTCAAACCAGCGCAGATTCGGCTACATAAGGAGCTTAAAATATCATCTTGTTGTGATGTTGGGTGCCAGAATCGATGTAATACAGCCTCAAATTAGAAATTTGATCGCATATCTGCTGCCACTGCCAGACAAAAAACCGACGACAGCTGTGGTTAAACGCGATAAAACGAGCAGACTGGACAGAAACGATCGTCACAAATGCTTGCGTTTGCAGCGCACACTTCTTATTAGAAGAGGTTCAATAAAGTATTGTCTGTTGTTGTTATGGGAGCGTCTACAGATTTCTTGCCATATGTCTATGTTTCTTGCATCTCACGACTATGTTGTGTATGAAATAATGTCTGTGTGCATGTGTGTAAAACAACAAACTGACGATTTATAATCATTTGTAATTGTATATACATTGTTGTGATTAATTGTGGCTGGAACAATAATGTAGCTGTAAAAATAGTTTCCTGCTGAAATTGAAATGTATATACATCTTCATCATGACTAGACACGGTTAGTTTGTCTTTACTATACGCGTTAGATGTGATCCACCTCATAGTAACAATCCTGTCAGATCGTCCATCCTTTGAGTGAGAGTGTAACGTTACAGGTCGGCCGATCTGGTTTCGTGGTTAAAGTTAACCTTTTCGACATGTTTACGTGTTGTCGTTGCTCAGCAATAGCATGGACGGGATGTTGTCTGGGGGTTTGGCAAAAGGAGAGTGGGACGGTGGGCAGTGCTCCGGGTGGTGACTGAAGGCGGTGACTGTGTAGTTCTGACGTCAACTTTTTACGGACGTCACAATGGTTCCTGAAAAATCACAGCTACTTTATGCAGGCTGTGTGCATTTTACTGTGGACTGACTGTTTTGAAACGTATATGGTAGTTAAATAGCCCCTAGACCTCAGTAATCGTGAAAAAAGCCAGGAAATGTCAGTTTTGACAATATGGGACCTTTAAACCTTTAGGAAATAAAGTGTAATTCATCAGTGGTTATCAACCAGTGCGTCACTATCAAAAAAAAGCCAAGAAATTTCAGTTTTGACAATATGGGACCTTTAACAAGGTTACTCAGACAGCTTATTGTCACATAAGTAACAATAACCGCCTCAGCCCAGCCCTCTCAACAAGTAGCATTGCCATTATGGTTCATGCTCTCATTACTTCACGTATTGACTACTGTAATGCTCTTTTTTTATGGTCTTCCTGATAAACTTTTACACAAGTTACAGTTAGTGCAGAACTCAGCTGCACGAATAATTACTAGAACTCCTACTATGAAACACATATCTCCTGTTCTCCAACAACTGCACTGGCTTCCGGTATTGAATTCGAAATTTTGCCTCTTGTTTATAAGGCATTACATAACCTGGCTCCTTCTTAATTATCTGACCTACTTTTAGCAGACTCCTTCTCGAACTCTCAGATCGTCGTCTACATTCTCTTTAGTTCTTCCTCGTACGCTTTTGGTTTCTATGGGATCTCGAATTTTTTAGCTACGCTGCTCCTCATCTGTGACTCTCTTCCTCTTTTCAAATCTCGTATGAAGACGCAACTTTTTAGGCAGGCATACCGGTGATAATTTATATAGCCCCTAATGGTTGTAAAGCTATGAATGTGGGCTTTGAATTTTATTGTTGCTTGTGTTTTATTTGCATGTGGGTGTCCTTGAGTGACACGTAAGGCGGCCATAAATGTTAATTTAAGCTGAAGTACTATTATTATTATTATTATAACTATTATTATCTGTAAAACTCTCAAGGTGCATTTCATGTCAATATGACAGGACCACTTTCTGTTTGCATTGGTAAAACTCAGTTACATAACTACATTCACACATCACTATGCAAACACCAAACTCAAATCTATTAACCTTCAAGCTGCTTAGAAACTTTTGAAAATGAAAAAAGAAGCTAAAAGAAGGCAAATACCTGTATTTGTGCTGTTGGTGTCACACAGGTGCTGTTCTGTACAGGCAGTCGGTATACAGACAGGAATTCCGGGTGGAGTTCATAAATACACTCCTGAAACGCGCCTGAAAACCCACCCCAGCTCTTCTGAGAAGAGACCGCACCCACACATGATACAAACACAAGGCCTGATTTCCATAGGGAAATAGGATCAGTCAGAGGAGAGGAGAAACTAACAAATCTTTTTAACAAGTATGCTGAAACGTTCTTATCTGATTGAGTCAATATTGGCTCTTCTATGGTCTGGAGGTTATGCGCCTCCGTTCATTTGAGGTGCTTAACCTCCGGATTACATGCATTTTATGGATGTTTTATGTTTGTTTTTTTTGGATGAACAAAAGAACAGCAGAATGAAAAAAGCCAATTTGTCTTGGCAACTAGGTAAGGATTGGAAGAGCTGTTCATAGTTCAAAACATATGTTGCGTTGCATAGTAACTGGCATTACATGGCTGTTTAGTGGACACACCTATTAATTCATGAGACTATTGATATTTTTTCCCCACACTTTAGAATAGTAGTGAAATAATCAAAAGCTATGTATTAACACAAATTGCAGTATTGGAATAGTGTTGTGACAAAAAAAAAAAAAACACAAATATAAATGAAATAACACTGTAGCTTTTTAAACTCGCCACCCTTTACAAAGGGCTCTGGCTCTGCTTTCTCATGTTAACCAAATTCATGTAGTGCATCATGGGATGCTTCTTAAACAGTATCGAAGGAGCTCCCATGCATGCTGGACACTTGAACACTGGGTCTTGTACCATGATGGTGGCTGAACAAACAGGGTTACAGGATTAGTTTTGAGTTGACAAAACAAAACCTGTCCAATCCGGTTTTGTTGGTGCTGAACATCAACTTTCTCTGTCAACTCAGGCTTTGATCCTGAATTTATGAAGCATGTGCAGATGAAAGTGTGACATGAGTTACAGCCAATCGCATGCCTTAAAACTCTGATTGACTTCTCGCGAGAGAGTCAGTGCGTTTCACTACCAAAGATTAAAAGATTGAAAAATATGACAAATTTAAACACATTTACACAGCAAGATGAAACCATCTATCCATGAAAGAGGACAACTTAAAGAAAACATATTGCCATATCAGTGCAAGTAAAAGTTAAGTTAGTTTATATAGTTGATAATATTTATAGGTATAAACACTTAAAAATCTAAGCTCATATGTCATGTTTAAAGCTATTGATTCTAAAGCATATTTATATTTTATATCTTTATATATTTATATTCATTTAAAATAAAAGCTTAATAATTATTATTAAGCTAAACTGGCTCGTGTAGTGGATTAAGGGTACAATAATTGTAATAAATATTAATTATAATAATATATAATAAATAATTATATCTAAAAGCCAGACGATGTTATTTTTACTATGTAGTGTCCTTTAATTTGGAGCAAGAGAAGCTGGGGGAGTGACTTTATTGTGTCAGAGATGTGTCACTTTGCTCGAAGCTGATCATCACACATTTGATTGGTCAAATTTCGGTTTAAGATCTCTAAACCAGAACGATGACCTTCCCCTGAGCAGCGTAAGCCGTGGAGCTACTTTGATGGTATAGCCCAGTGTTTCCCAACCGGGGTGCCGTTTAAAAAATCTTTTTTTAATATTTTTAAATTGCTAAAATGTTCAAAAAAGCATCTATTATATAATATCCATTTCTGATGTCGCCAATAATTAGAGATGCACCGAAATTTCGGCTGCCGAATTAGTTCACCGCTCATGTTTCACTTTCACGTGGTGTGACGCTCTGCGTATTTTTTTATTTTTTTTGACGCTCTGCGTATTATCCGGCTCTATGCGTGTGCGCCAAAACTTTGTTTAATTACCATTATAACTAGCTATCTCACAATGTTTACATATGAATAAGAGCCCACATTAAAGTCTGTCATATAAATTGGTCTCTTCATCAGAAATTAGCCTTCTGATTGCCACCATTGATGGACAATTTTTAATATTAAAAATATCTGTATGACATTATATTCTGCAGTTCTTCCCTGTTGTACCGAATATCTATACTTTTCAAATTATCATATCGAAGTTAGAAATTCAAATATTGTGACAAAATTAATTTTGTAGGGTGCCACAAGTTTGTTAAAATTTCCAAAGGGTGCCGCGACTAAAAAAAGGTTGGGAAACACTGGTATAGCCTACCTAAAACCCAGAGTTGGCGCAAACTAAACTGAAATTTACCTGGCTAGCCAGCTAAACTGACTTCTGACATGGTACAGGCCCCTGCTCTTGCTTCACTATATGGTGGTCCAGCTCAAAAAAAAAATAATAATAATAATAATAAAACATTTATCATGCATTCATTTTCCAAACTGCTTATCCTATGTAGGGTCAAGGGAATGCTGGAACCTAATAATAATATTGACATGTAAACAAATTCATACATAGGCACAATTTATACAGAAACTAATTTCAAGATGCCTATAAATCACAAGGATTTGAAGATCAAGAGAAACATTCAGTCAAGTGTATCCAGATATTATGTCACAAATTCATGTTAGCATGGTAATGTTTACGTATTGTTGATTCAACTTGTACTATTGAAAGTTAAAACTTGTTTAGAAAAATCATGCTGGGTACAATTTGTTTCTACAAATGCAGATGAGTGAACTATGAAGTTACAGACATACATTTATCAGCAGGCCATTCTGTGTTATGATTAAATAATGCATGGCAATTGGAGAAATCCTTAAATCAATTATAAATCTTACATTTTATGCATGAAGCAACAAGAGTATAAAAATATAATTTATTTATATTCATTTATAATTTAAAATATCTTCTTTTTTTTTTAAACCAAAACATATTTAATTTAAAATTGAATATGTTATATTTCATATAAATTCCACTAGCTAAACAGGACAGTCAAATTAACATGATATTATATTGTACATTTAAGATGACATATTGCTGAGGATCTTGAAAATATTTTAGACTGTAGAAACAATATGAAATCTCAGTATAGTATCTGTTTTTTCCAAGACTATATCCATGGAGGAAAACGTTTTCATAGGATATAGCAAGAAATTGATGTAATCATCATCATCTAAGTAATAGATTTCATTCCATTTCTATTTAGTACGGTATTTGAAAGAGTCATGCACTGCAAAACCACTAGATGGCGTGTTTACTCTGTAAATAAGTATGAGTAATGTGTGATTATACTAATGTAGATTTAAAGCCTTTGTTTAAATATGCCACAGTATTTTCCAGACGCCTTAATTTGGCATAAATACAAATCAAACAAAGGCTAATATTCAGGAACAAAACTTAAATCACTTTTGTTTTTTCTAGAATGCTTGTACAACCTACAGCAAACCATATGCTTCCCAGTTTTTCTGTATATTTAATCAAGATGTTTATCAGGAAATGTGCTCTATCTTACATTATGCAGGGTGTATTTTTTTTACATAATGGTTCACTGACATCTTTACCTAATGCTTGGTCAGCAGGGAAATGTGTTTATAAGGAGGCTGAAATCTGTTTTATTAACACTAGGGGTCAATCAAGGACTTTAAAGCAGAGGGTTCAGAGGTCATAAGGTGATTGGTTGATAGGGGTGAGGGGTCAAATGAGTGTTGACCAATATTGATGATTGATTAAGCTTGATAAGATAATAAGTCTAAGAACCTAATAAACACAAGAACAATTCTTGGTGTGGACGTTTATCCTTACTAAGTTGTTCTGAGCGGACATATTTAAAAGAAAAAACGATGGATTTCTCAGATATTGTCTTTCATTAATGTCTTGCTTTATTTGTCAACTTTTGTACTATGTTCATTATATGTTGAAATCCAATATTTTGTTTAGTACTGCAAATAATTACATCGAAATCTTAGCTTATCATCATCGGGATCATCAGCACCTGCCTTTATCAGAACATTCAGGAATTTCACACTGTTTATAAAGTCTGTGTAACTGGATCCGGTAGGATCTGGCAGAGCCGTTACAAAGAATTGCCTGTGAAAGCGATTAGTGTAGTCTAGAAATGCATTACTGTATATTTTTGGACAGTATCACTGCTGTTGTGAAAACAGGTGAGAATGTGAATATTTTTCACATGGAAAAATTGCAGCTCTCCATGTACTATTATTTATGAACTAATGTTTAGGGATGTGCTTGTTGTGTAGAGCATTCCTCAAAAATACCCCCTACCGAACAGCTTTATTGGAATTTCCTTTTAGCGTCTTCCTGAGCACTAGCATAAAGAGGGCATGTTTGTTTCGGCTTGTTTGATTATCTGAACTATTTCGCCATGTCCAAACATAAAAAAGCATAACAAGCAGCGTCTAATTGTTTTGTGCGAGAGCTCTCTTATCTGTCCCAGCAGAATCAAAACAAAAGCAATCACTCCATTTTTTTTATATTCTGAATCTCATATCTGAATTATAAACCTCATCAGGTCTATTCTACCCCCACCACATCTGCACGAAAACCTCCTTGTATACACGTAGCTGGCCTTGTAAATGCAATATTCACTCTCTCTTTGCCGTTCCCTGGAATTGCTCTTTGTTTTGCTGGAAGGTCTTTTATTTATGGGCTCTTACAGAAAGAGCTTTCCAATCGCTCGGTTACTTTTTAGGTAATCTGAATTACATGTTTCACCTAGTGGATGATTAAACAGGTCTATCTAGGGACCAGGTTGTGGCTCTTAGGCTATTAAGTATTGTCCAAAACACCATATCAACTACCTAGCAATAAGCTAGAATGCCCTAGTAACCCCATGTCAACACCCTGGTGACCGACTATAACACTCTAGCATCATGACAGTATTTGTTTATGGTTTGGGGTTTGATTTTTTTTTAATGTATTTATTTGAAAGAAATTAATACTTTTTTTATTTAGCAAAGATGCATTAATTAAACAAAAGTGACAGTAAAGAGATTTATTTTTTATTTATTTACAAAAGATTTCAGTTTGTTCTTTTGATCTTTCTATTCATCAAAGAACACTGAAATGGTTTTCTCAAAAATACTAAATGGCACAACTGTTTTCCTTAATAATTATAAAAAATGTTACTTGAGCAGTAAATCAGCATATTTTGAATGATTTCTGAAGGATCATGTGACACTGAAGACTGGAGTTATGATGCTGAAAATTCAGCTTTGCCAACACAAGAATAAATTACATTTTAAAATGCTTTAAAATAGAAAACATTTTATTTTTGTTAAAATAAATGCACCCTTTGTGATCTTAAGAGACTTCTCTCAAAAACAATGACAAACTTTGAACAAGTGAAAAAATCTACTTTTTCTATTTTTTACTTAAATAATAAAAAGGAAATATAAAAAACAGAAATGAATCCAGAACACAAACATTGCACAAATCTTTTATTGCACTGATGCAGTTTATGAATTTAAATTAATCTAATTTGCTCTTGATGATTTAGGAAGATTGTGATCAAGTGAATGAGAGTTGAAAGAAATGAGTTTGAAGCTTGTTTCCAAGACTGGAATGATAAAAAGGGTTGGTTTATTTCTTCTTCAGAGATGGCTGGAAGGGCTTAACTAAACACGACATTCAATCTAATGCTTGGCCACTCTATGTTCCTGTTGGAAGCCCGGCGTTTAATGGCAGAAGCAGACAGAACGCCTCTGTGGCACGAGGGGAACCCACATGATTAAGTCAAATGATCGTTGCAACTGAGAAACCAAACCAAAGGCGAACGCATCCTAAATGCAGACGGTTCTCTCATCAGTGATGGCAATCAGACCTTCCATGGGCTGGAACCCATTCTGCATTTTCCATTTGCTGACCATTCACCTAAAAACCACTATGACGCACAATTTATTTACCCTTTATGCATGATCAGCAGTGTCCCAGACTCAAAGCAGCAGTCTTGGCTTTGAAGAGAAGAGTAGAAGGATATTGCTGACCAAAGCTCCATACTTTTCGATGAAAACCGTTCTGCTAATGACAGCCGAACCTTTTAAGTTTGGTGGGTGAGATACTAAACAGAAAGATCTTACAAAAACACCCTCAGTGCATGGCTGAGAATTTGAAAAATTTATGAAAAGACATTTCTAGAATGTTACAAGGTCACAAAAGCATGTTAAGGCGAAATACTTGACAGCACATGGCAGTGACAAACTACTTTTGCCTCTGCAGAAGCTCTGGGAATGTTATAAATGTCATCAAAATCATGTGCTAGCACTTACTACTGCATCATATGATGATGGCATTTGCATTTGCTCCCTCATAATGGGACGCTTCAGTCCTCAAGGTCTGGTGCCCGGCCTTTAATCAGGAATGCTTGAGACATTTATGCCCTTGAATCCTGCGAAACAGTTTAAATAGAACTAAACTGGAAGTATTTGAAGAGACTTTTCATATTATGATTAGTTAGAATAGAAAACATGCTTTTGGGAAAATGTCAATTGCATTCATTGTTAAAAGAACTCTTTAAAGAAATATTTCATACAAATATGACAGCTCTATCATTTTTTACTCACCCTCATGTCGTTTCAAGGCCATATTCTATCATTTGTTCTGTGGAACATACAGTATAAAGAGAAAATTTGAACAATATTTATGACGATTCTTTTGAATACAAGGACAATTCATAGCATCTAAAGCAAAGCAATTAAAGCAATCCAGTGTTCATAATCCAGTGTTCTGAAGCCATATGATAGCTTTGTGTAAGGATCAGACCACATACATACTTGTAAGCTACTTTCAAGCTGTTTTATCTCCATTTTGGAGATTGACAGACATGTTCACTATGAAAGAAAACAGGTGCCATGAAGAAAAAAAATGGATCTTGAATGTCGCGAGAGTGAGAAAATACTCTTCATTTTTGGGTGAACAATTCCTTTAAAAGCCTGCGTTTGATTATAATCTAAATCAGCATTCATTAAGATTGCATAAAAATTGTTTTCCCTCATTGACCACATACAGAAAATATCTGACACTTGATTGCACATGAAATACTGTAATCAACATATTTCTTGGCTGGAGACTACAGTGACAAAGTCTCACTAATGAGCTTTACTACTATGCATGTGAAGAGCAAATACTCATGCGTCAACAGACAAAAACAAAGCTAACAAGCTGTCAAACAAACGCAATGGGGAGACAATCAAGCCATCTGACTGTGTCTACATTCAAGGGCTGCAGCACGGATTAAAACTGAGATTAAATTAATGCAAACATTTGTAACCCCAAAACCAGACAACAAAGAGCTGCTCTGTGGAGAACCCACTGCATGCCTATGCTGCAATTATAATAATTTTTTAGATGCTTTGAGAATTGGATGAGCCAGTTTAAAGTGAGATGAGGCTGCATTATGCCGATATGTTTCCACTCCAGGCAGGCATCAGCAACAGGGTTCACCGGAGCAAAACATTAGCCGAGTCGGTTAAATCTGACCTGCCGCTGGGCAGAGGACAAGAGACTGCATATGTAATGCAACCTCACACTGCCTCCACCCAAAACCCCCCCCCACCTCTTTTTCTCACACATGCACATGTATGCATATACGCATGGAGAGATAGAGAGAGAGCGGTCAATCAACTTGTCCGGTGCGCAGATGTCTTTCATAGATAAACCAAGGAGGCTGACTCATGTCACTGATGCTGAATGGGACGTCAGTCAGGGAACTGAGACTCTGAGATAGCCTATTATCTGCCTTTAACTACAAAAACACTACATTGGCTGCCCATGTCTTTGTAATGCTACACTAAGGAAACACACAGGGGGTTAGAGGAGGATGAACAATGAATGAAGGATGAACCAACCAGAACTACCTAGTAACCACACAGAACACCCTAGCAACCACCCAAAACACCATAGCAATCATCCAGAACATCTCAGAAACTATAGAGATACACCGATTGCAGTTTTCTTGGCCGATTCCGAATTCTGATTTTTTTTTGTAAAATGTACGTCACTTAATTTGAACTTCTTGTTTATTGAACTATTATTGTATAAAATCAGTGTCACATTGCAATCGTGTTGATATACGAGGAAACATCTTGGTCATGTATTGTTGCTTACCTATATCATATATTATAAATTTCTTTTTTTTTTCTACCGCAGTATGTATCTATAACTTTCTGTGAGTTTGTGTCTGCTGTTGCGCTCATTTGTTTTGATTTGTGCACGAGTCTCTCTCTCACTCAGGCTGTGCGAGCCTCATCTGGAATGACATAAATACATTATCAGTCGGCATTTACACTGAATGCAATAAAATCACAATCATTCCCGCGTGAAAATTTTTGGTGGCCAAGTTTCAGTAGTTATTTTTGTTATTGACGTTTTAATCAGACAAGTTAATCGTTAATCGAGCCCTGTGGTTCCCCCACAGTTTACTTTGGCCCTACACATATTACAAATTGCGAACTGTTTGTCTTCTTTACTCACAGTGAAGAACTTCTACACCAACGGCATTTTTACATGCGGATGTGAGCCTAGGTGTGACATCAAAATGAACCGGCTCAGAATCGTCAGACTGACCAGCCGGTCACCGGTCTGGGCTGATCATGCAGAAAATAGGCTAATTCCGGTCCCTGGCCAGTCGATCGGTGCATCAGAAACCTCTTATTAACCACCCAGAACACCTTAGCAACTACCCAGAAACAGAACAAAAACAAAAACAAAACTAGCAACCACCCAAAACACCATAGCAATCATTCATAACACCTTAGAAACCTCTTATTAACCACACAGACACACACAAGTAACTACCCAGAACACCTTTGCAACCACCCAGGACACCTTTGCAACTACATAGAACACCTTAGCAACCCCCCAGAAAAACCCTAAAAACCACACCTTAGCCACCACACACAACCAACTTAGCAACACCCAGAACACCCTAGTTACATTCTAGTAACCACATAGAAACCCTAATTAACCACCCAGACACACCTAGAAACCACCCAGAAAATTCTAGCAACCACCTAGAACATCTTAGCAACCACACAGAACACCATAGCAACCACACACACCAACTTAGCGATGACCCAGAACACCCTAGCTACACTCTAGTAACCATGTAGAAACCTGAGCACACATAGCAACC